TCCTTGCCTGGCACAGTGACACACACACACACACACACACACACACGCACACACACACGGTTTGTCTATCTGAATTGAGAAGACACGTGAGCTTGACCTGGAAAGATTAACAAGATGGAGGTTGAGTGGATGAGAAAATATTTTCACAGGATGGTCCTGGGGCGAGGATTGCCAACACGAGAAAACAGATGCAGGTGGACAGTACTTAACTGTTTGCAAAGCATCCCTCCTGTGAATTGTCTTACTCACACAGCCCCATGAGGTCAGCACCTGGGGAAACTGAGTCTCAGAGAGACACACAGGCCACACAGGTCGTAAGTAGTAAAACCCAGACGCTAGCTCTAACTGCTTTCCAATAGGAGAACTTGTTTTTTTCTCTCCCTCCACCCTCCGTGGAACACAGGCATGAATGAAGCATAGGCCGAGAAGAGGCCCCAAATGATGCAGGCTGGAAGAAGTACGCGAGAGCTAAACGCTTCGTCCTGACACACAGCCTGCTACAGCCTCGTGAACTTCCCAGGTCGTCCCATGTGCCCTGATGTTCCTACACCTGGACAGCGTTGTTAAGTGTAAGGAAGCCGAGGATCAAGTTTGCCGGCAGAAAATTGTTGCTAAAATGTGTTCTCAGTCTTCAAGCCTGAGAGTGTCTCTGACGCCTGCCTGAGCTGGAGGCCCAAGGAGAGACTGAGAAATCATTTGGGGTTGGGGGCAGTATCGGGGGGCTGGTGGTGGTAGGGAGGGAGTGGACTGGATGTGTTTATGGCTCGTTTCCATCCTGACTGAAGAGTGAGGTGACCTGGGCTTGGATCCACATCTAGATAAATGCACCAGAGCTGGAAAATTCCCAGGATGCTAAAATTTCGGACCCAGTTCCCAGAGGTGGGAGTGGGTACTGGAGAGGTCGTTCCCTGGGCAGGAAACCTTCCTCGGTGGGCTTGGCCTGCTCTCAAGAGAGAGAAACTACCATGAGGATGTCTATTTCTCACCACCCCCCCCGCTTCTATCCTTCTGTATTTAATAAAAGCCTGTGGAGCGCCTACTGTGCAGTGACCTAGGCCTTCTGAAGTACATGTATATATGATACTGGCCCTGCCTTCAAAACTCTTCCTTGCTTGGGGACACTGGGAAATTTGTAAAACAGTGATTGCCGAAACTCACTCTGTGATGGTTAATTTTTGTGTCAACTTGGGTGGGCCAAGGTGCCTAGGTATGTAGTCAAACATTATTCTAGATGTTTCTGTGAGGGTGTTTTTGGATGAGTAACATTTAAATCAATGGACTTTGGGTAAAGCAGATTGCTCTCTCTAATGTGGGTGGGCCTCATCCAATCAGTTGAAGGTCTGAATCAAAGCAAAAATTGACTTCCCCTGAGGAAGAAGGAATTCTGAAGCAGACAGCCTTCAGATTTAAACTGCAGCATCTTCTCTTCTCTATGTTTCCAGCCTGCAGGCCCACCCTGCAGATTTTGGACTTGCCAGCCTCCATAATCATATGAGCCAATTCCTTAAAATAAATCTATCTCTATACCTATACCTATACCCATACCTATACCTATACCTATATATTTTCTGGGGAACCCTGACTAATACACCCTCGAATCAACCTCCCTACCCCTGTCCATGACTACAGCATCTCTTGCCTGGACATCCCAAGGGTCTGCTAATGCCAGTATCTCCCTTCCCATCTTCCCTGTGGCCACTAGGGGTCTCTCCCTAAAGCACGCGACTGAGTATGTCGTGCTTACAGTCCTTCTGTGTGCCTCACCTTCCCCACCACTGTCTCCTAAACCTTAGGCATCCTCCACCACCTTCGTGACCGTTGGTATGTCAGACTTTCTCCTTGCTGAAATCAAAAGGAAAGAAGGAGAACTGAAAAAGAACTAATTTCCTCACCATATTATTCAGTACCTCTCCACACTAAATCCACATCTTAAGTACCATCAGAGAAAGCATTCCATCCCACATTTTGGGGAACCTGGGTTTCTAGAATAAAATCCATTCTTCTTGGCATGGCTCTGTAGCTACTATCGCAGCTACATGGAATAGTTAGGCACCCCAAATGCCAGGTACACCCTGGAACACCTCTGAGAAGAAGGCCTTTTCTCTTTGCTTCCTGGAGAACTCGTTCTTGGGCCTCAAAATCCAGCTGCCTTCCCTGCGGCGGCTGTCTACCAAGTGCTCCCCCGCGCTTTGCCAGCCCTGCGTTAGCATTTACCATCATCGCACTGCAAATACGTGAGTGCTTGTCTCCTCAGAGGTTAGAGGTCAAGGGGGTGGGAGCACGTGTTATTCATTGTGAGGAGTCTTCAAGGGGACCCCCGGTAAATAGCACCTCTCTCCCCTGCCTGACTTCTGCACATGTTGAGAAATAAAACAAAAGAGAGGAAATGGGGATCAAACTATTCACATTTTTTTGTTTTTTCAGATGAAGGCTAAGTGAGAACTTAGCTTTTGCATGAGACCACATGGTCCTGCTAAGTGAATCCAGAATTCGGCAGTCTGACCCGCCATGCACAGACCACACAGGACTGGGCAGGCCTTCCCACGTGACTGGAAGGGCCCAGCCCCAGAGAATGGCCCAGAAAACCTGCTCCCTGAAGGCAGCTCTGTTCCAGTAGCGAGACGGGCAGGCTAGGCTCTGCAGGCCAGGGTTTTCCTTCCCAAATTTACCCATCAGGGGTGCTCAGGGAAAACCCCTCCTCATCCCCCCATGGAGTGGGGCAGATGTGTTTTACCGCCTAGAATTAAGCTCTCGGATGGCATAGACCATCAAATTCCAGAAAACCAGAGGAATGAGATCTCAGAAATTAGCTATCCTGACCAGCCCTCTCATTTTACATAGGGGGAAACTGAGCCCCAAGGAGAAGGTCAAGGTCACTTAATCCACCTGAGTGGTCTGTAACTTTAATCTGTATTTGGTGTGACAGATACTATTAATTAATATTATTAAAAACAAGGTGACAGGTCCAAAATGGAGTCGCTTATGCTAAGCCCCGCATCACCAAACTGAGGCTTAACTTAATTACAGTTTTGGCTCTCTCAGAAATGGAATGTTAAACCAGTCAATCAGTTATCGCCTGATCAGCACTAGTTAGGTAATTTGCCTGACAGACCCCTGCCCTCCCCTAAAGGGAAGTAACCGAGCAATAACCAACCTGCTTTTTTGCCTAGTATGACTTCCTTCTTCCTGCTCCCTTCTGCCTATAAAAGTCTTTCATTTTGTACAGCTCCTTGGAGCTCCTTTCTTTCTGCTAGATTGGATGGTGCCCGATTCATGAGTTGTTGAATAAAGCCAATGAGGTCTTCAAAATTTATTCAGTTGAATTTTGTTTTTTAACAATATTATGCCACAACTCCCAAAGGCAAGAAAAAGACAACTCTTGCCTCTCACCCTTTCCTGGTGTTGCCGGAATTCCCAGGCCCATCCTGGAATGCTCACTCAATGTGAATCTGGGGACCAGGGCGGAGGCAATGGTCTGCTTCTGGGATGCCCTGGCACAGGGCTGTAATTGTGGATCCAGGAAACCTGGTCCTTGGCTAACTCAATTCTCTCCACATAATTAAAAGAGGGAGAAGTGAAATGGCAGCAGGAAATGGGCACTTAATAAAATCTAAAGAGCCCTGTTCATTTTTGAATCCTCACTTTTTTTTCTGCCTTAATTCTTGGCCACTGTAAATTACTTCAAATACACGATTTTAGAACAGAGAAGGAGCTAGGAGTCCAAGAAGCTATCTTTATCATTTCATCTTCCTTTGGTATCATTTAGGATTTTAATTTTCAAACACGGCAAAGAGGCAGAAATGGCTTCCGGCCAGAGACGAGCAGCATCACTTTAAAATGAAGATAGAATATTTTTTTTCTTGAGATGTGCCCCTAAAACTGCCTAAAGAATGAAGACCTCTCCCAGTGCTGATTAGAAAAGGGGGCATTTCTAATTCCTCATGAATGGAAATAGGAACAAAAGTATTCCAAAGCAAGGACTTACTGATTCACCGCTAAATCCACTGCTTCAAGCTCCTGGGAGAAAAAAACAAGCGCTGAAATTAACCTGATCTTTGGGAAATATCAGTTAAATGCTTTTGTAACTTCATCACCATCTACTCAGGGGAAAATGCTGCTCTTCAAGCCTGCCTTTCGCCTGAGAGTCAGGAGCTTCTAAACCAAGAAAGGAAGAAACCAAGCCGGTTATTTATGAGCTCCTGCCCCCTGCAGTTTTAAGCCGCTGTGAAATAAGCCTGTTTGTTACCGCTCTGGGGGAAACGCCGCGAGGGCGAGGTAACCCGGCTCTGCGGGGGGCGCGCGGCCGGCCTTCTGCGCCTCCTAGCGGACGCGTGTGCTGGAGCCCCGGCCACCCGCTGCAGAAAAGCGGGCCACCAGCAGACAGCGCCGCATCCCGAGGCTGCCCGCGCGCACAGACTCGGCGGCACCCCTTGTTCGCCTTCTGTCCCTATCCAGCGACCAGTCGGGCTGTGGGCGAGGGGATTCCAGCCGCCGAGGCTCCAGAGTTCGAGACCTCAGCGTAGTATCAGACTGGGTGCCGCCTGTGGTCACCCCAAACCGGGCCGGGAGCGCACGCGTTTTTGGAGCCGTCCGCGTCGGTGCAACTTCCCAGGGAGCCAACTTTAGGTCAGCCTGCGGATTCGGTGGAGAGAGCTGGCTCCTGCGCACGGGTGGACGTCACGGCTGGGGCTGGTGGAGCCAGTGGGACGCGAGCGGAGGTGATGGGGTGCCTCGCGGTCCTGGTTCCTGAAGGCGCGACTGGTGCTCTGAGAGATTGGAGAGCGGCTGCTCAGGATCAAGATGCAGAGTCCTTGACTGTCGGGGTTCCTGAACCTCCCCACCTGCTGGGCTGGGGAGGATTCCCGCGGGAGGTGTCTAGACCTGGGAGGATCCCCGAGGGAGGGGTACTGGGAACAGCGGTTGGGCGTCCTGGGGATAGGTATTGAGTGAGGCAGGAGTTCCCCCAGGAGGGACCGCTGGACTGGGGTTCCACGACAGCAGCTGTTGTGGAAGTTGCGGGGTTGGGGTAAGGGGAGTCTAAGGGTTTTACAAACAGGAGGTTGGAGAGGGATGGTCCTGAGCTGGGGTTTCCCAGGCAAGTTGCTGTTTGGGGCTCTCCGGAGAACTGGAGTAAGGTTTATTAGAAGACGTGGCTGGTTTGGGGGTCTCCCGGGAGGTGGCTGTGCTGAGGGTCCGGGGTGATAGCTACTTTGGGGATCCCTGGGGGAGGTGACTGGTTTAGGAGTCCCAGTCCCGGAGGAAAGTGGCTGATTATGCCCCTCCCCTCTCCTTCAGTGGAAGCGACTGAATATTCAAGGCACCGGCGGTCCGGGAGATTCCCGCTCATCTCCAGTGGCCCTGAAGGAGGTATCTCAAACGGGAATTTCTGGGGTGGTGGCTGTGCTCCTAGTCCTAAAGGATTTGGGGTTCCTGGGAAGGGGACAACCGAGCCGCACGTGCGTCGGGAGAGAAACGCGAGGTCTTCTCCGGACCCTCGGGGTTTGTTTCAGGGCCCAACCCCGCTGGTCCGTCCGCGGAGTCGCAGGGAGTGTAACCCGAAGCGCGCGTCCGCCCCGCCCCGCCGCACCACGCCTTAAAGGGCTCGAAGGCCAGGGGCGCAGAGCGGCGGCCACGGTCATGGAGGGCTCGCTTGCGGCCAACTGGAGCGCCGAGGCGGTCAACGGGAGTGCGGCGCCGCCGGGGGCTGAGGGCAACCGCACCGCCGGGCCACCGCAGCGCAACGAGGCCCTGGCGCGCGTGGAGGTGGCCGTGCTGTGCCTCATCCTCTTCCTGGCGCTGAGCGGCAACGCGTGTGTGCTGCTGGCGCTGCGCACCACGCGCCACAAGCACTCGCGCCTCTTTTTCTTCATGAAGCACCTGAGCATCGCCGACTTGGTGGTGGCCGTGTTCCAGGTGCTGCCGCAGCTGCTGTGGGACATCACCTTCCGCTTCTACGGGCCCGACCTGCTGTGCCGCCTGGTCAAGTACCTGCAGGTGGTGGGCATGTTTGCCTCCACCTACCTGCTGCTGCTCATGTCCCTCGACCGCTGCCTGGCCATCTGCCAGCCGCTGCGCGTGCTGAGCCGCCGCGCCGACCGCCTGGCGGTGCTCGCCACGTGGCTGGGCTGCCTGCTGGCCAGCGCGCCGCAGGTGCACATCTTCTCGCTGCGCGAGGTGGCTGACGGCGTCTTTGACTGCTGGGCGGTCTTCATCCAGCCCTGGGGGCCCAAGGCCTACGTCACGTGGATCACGCTCGCCGTCTACATCGTGCCGGTCATCGTGCTCGCCGCCTGTTACGGCCTCATCAGCTTCAAGATCTGGCAGAACTTGCGGCTCAAGACGGCGGCGGCGGCGGCGGCCGAGGGACCCGAGGGCGCGTTGGCGGGCAGCGGGGGGCTCGCGGCGCTGGCACGCGTCAGCAGCGTCAAGCTCATTTCCAAGGCCAAGATCCGCACGGTCAAGATGACGTTCGTCGTCGTGCTGGCCTTCATCGTGTGCTGGACGCCATTCTTCTTTGTGCAGATGTGGAGCGTGTGGGACGCCAATGCGCCCAAGGAAGGTAGTGCGGGCGGGAAATCCCGAGGAGGGAGCGCGGCGGCGGGGGCGGGGAGAGGGGCCTCCGCACGTCCAGGGTCTGGGGGCCTTCTGCGGGAGAAGTGGGTTTTGGAATCCTGCAGGGCTGGGTTTGAGTCGTGGCTCCATCATCCACTGGCTAAGTGGTTTGGGGCGTAACCTCCCTGAGCCTCCAATTCCTCTTTTGTAAAGTGGCAATAATGATAAAAGTACCAGTTCTCACCAGGCAGTAGGGGAAGGAAATGAGAAAATGCACGGGAACCCTTTAGCGCAGTCCTTGGGCTACAGGGGGTGTGGTTCCTTATTATGGATAAGGAAACTGAAGTTTAAGTGACTTGAGCTTCCCACGTGGTTAGCGAGTAGTGGAGGTAACTTTCGAACCGGGCCCAAGCCCAGCTCCTTCCGCTCTTAAGTTCACTCTACGTTGAACTTTCATTTTAAGTTCAAATCAGCCTGAACCCACGGGTCCCGGTTTGGATAGGGGCAGCGGGAGGTGGCGGATTCCATTCGTCAAAGCAACAGCTGAGGTGCTGGGCGGGGCGCCAAGAGAGTCCCTGAACCCCTCGCCTGGTGGAGGCGATGAGCCGCCGAGGTAGAGCGGTGAGTACCACAGGGGCGGCGGGCAGGCGCGGGGGCTGGGGACACCCAGGACCCGAGACGTCGCTTCTGCTGCGGCGGGTGGTGGGGGCGGGTAACGGAAGGGAGCCGAGACGCAAACTTTCCGATTTGACCCGGGAGGCTGGGTGATTTCTGTAGGCAGGGAACGAGTGCTCCAGACTGGAGGACTGCGGAGGTCAGGATGGCCATTGTCCGAGTCCGGAGACCAGAAGTGGGTAGAATAGGGTGATCTGTGGGGAGGGAGCTTGCGGGAGCAGAGAGCGCCTTGGGCTCTGGGCACGTGGCCAGCTGGGCGCTGGGAGCTCGAAGCTTCGCCTTCATCGCCCACAATTCCAGCAGCTCGTTCGCAAAGAGCACTAGGGATGCTCCGCGGCGGTGAGTGAGTTACACCTCTTGTTTGCCGGCAAGCCCATGCCCACTGGGACGCGGGTAACTCTATGCTTATAAGAAAAGACCCGGGGAGGCCGGCCCCGTGGCTTGGCGGTTGAGTGCGTGCGCTCCGCTGCTGGTGGCCCGGGTTCGGATCCCGGGCACGCACCGACGCGCCGCTTCTCTGGCCATGCTGAGGCCACGTCCCACATACAGCAACTAGAAGGATGTGCAACTATGACATACAACTATCTACTGGGGCTTTGGGGGGAAAATAAATAAATAAATAAAAAAAAAAAAAAAAAAAGAAAAGAGCGGGGGTTTGTTTTCCCCTTTCTGCCCTGAGACAGCACAAATCTCCCATTTCTGGATAGAATCGCTGCTGCTCCCAACAGCCTCAAATACTACCATCCTGTGGAGGCTGACATCTCCCTTCATTCAGCTGGATAACTTGGCTTTGCTCTCTTCCTGAAACCACAGACTTGTGGCCTTACCCAGCTCTCCCAATTAGCCTAGTGTTTGCCTTAGTGCCCAGGGCAATTATCATTCAACATTTATTGAGCACCTGTGGTGTGCCAGGCCAGGTGGTGGGGTGAGGATCGATTGCTGTGAAGATTCAGCAAAGCCAGCCTGGCTTCATGGTGCAGCCCCTGGTCACACCTTGCAGAGGGGGTTCAGAGAGGGGAAGGCGCTTGCTCCAGGTCACACAGCAAATCAGAGGCTGACTATAGCTAGAATTTCCTGCCCTTCCTACTTTCCCTCACAGCTATTTTTTCCTGCTCCATCAGGCCACACCCGTTTCCTAGGCAGGATCCATACAGATACTAGACCAGGTATTGAGGCTCCAACACCAGCCCTTGAGGAAGTGAGACCCACACCCCCTTAGAGCAGGTATTGGGGAGACCTGGGATGTAGTCCTCCCTCTGGCCCTTACTAGCTGTGGGACTTTGAGTGAGGGGTCCTCTTCTCCCCCTTGACCCTTAGTGTGTTACTTCTAGAACGAGGACATTTCAGCGTTCAGTTCATTCGTTCAGCAGGTATTCTGACTCCTCTCTCTTTGCTGTCCGTACTCTCTCATTGATTTTTTCTCCCTGGTGATTTTTCTCCCTCTTCCTTTCCCCCACGCCTCTTCATGTGACTTTCTGTTGTCCATCCCCTCACCCGCTCTTCTCTTTCTCACTTTCCCCCTAAAGAACGAAGAACGAGAGCGTATGATCAACCCACATGTCATAATCGCTGAGTAAAGTTTTGATCTTTTCCACACTTTAAAAGTACATCAAACATTCAGTTTTCTGTCTTAAAAACAAGACACAGGAAGAGAGAGAGAGAGAGGGAGCTCCCAGCTAAAGTGGGCCAGAGGCCTTTGGGTACATGTGGATTTCCTGGGGTAAGAGGATTTCCCTGGTGAGACTTCATGGAGAGAGGCTCCTGCTCAGGCTCCGGGAGCGGGGAAAGGACCTCAGGTCCTACATTCCCTTTGCTCCTTTGCTTCTTCCCTCTGGACTCAGAGGAAAGGGTGGGTGTGACCTGAAAACAACAGGTCCTCGCAGTCCCCCTGGGCATTCTGTCCTGAGTGCTCTGAGAAGAGGCAAACGCAGACAGCAGGGGATTTGTGACCCCGCTGCTGCCAGCAGCCCCCACCCCAATGTGTTGCCAGGAGCGGGTGCCCGGTCCATGTGAGAGGCCCATCGAGCACAGAGGACTTGGGCTCTGGCTGCCAGCCTGGCCAAGTCACGCCTCGGCCTCAGGGCTGCAGGGGTCTGAGCGGATGTGGGCGCAGCCAGAACGCACAGCCTGTGCCCACTTGGCATGAATTTGGATAATTGCAAGAAGCAGACTGGGCCATCAGAAACGACAGTGTTTACAGTCACTCTGGAGACATGACTCAGTCTGGAGGCTATGGCAAGTGTTAAGGAAGGAATAAAAGAGAGACACGCTCCAGCTGCTGGAGAGATTTTGATCAGCGAAGTGGAATTAATGCATAGCCCTCACTTTCCTCTCCAAGAGGAAGGGAATTTACACGAGATGCAAAATTGCTAGATCAGGCCCCTTGCTCTGCTCATCTCCTGGGGAGTGGAGCCTGGAAGTTCAGGGAGCCCTTTGGGAACAGCGTGACATTCTTCAGGGAAGCCCAGGGGCAGACAGGCTCAGATGGGGACAGGAGTCGGGCAACCGTGGGGTCTGTTCCTGCCAGTAGCTTCCTCATGGAACCTCGGGGAGAACGAGAAGCTCCTTACCCATGGGCTACAGATCAGGGCTAATGGAAAGGATGGAGAAATCATGCTTGCCTTGGCTGCTGGCCTCGTGGCCCCACTGGACTCCGAGTCCCTGCCTCCCTTAGGGTTCCCTCTCGCTGACGTCCTCTCAAAAGCCAGGTGCTCCTTTTCCATCTCTCTCCTTGACTGACTGCTTTCCCCCACACACCTTCCCTCACACCCAGCGCTGCCTTTATGGGCTTAGAGCTCGCCTTGTTCCAAAATAATTTGAGGTGGGGCACAAAGATTCAGGTCCTGCAGCACGATAAAGTAGATGTAAGGAAACTTGGATAAAGGGGAAAAAAGGATAGGAAAATTACAGTATTATAGTAACAGTAATAATAATAAGAAAGGCTCTGTGTGCAGAGGTGAGCTGCACATGGGGCTTCCTTTTCAAAAGAGCCAAAGCAAAGAGAAGAACTCTCAATTTCAATATTTCCATTGTTGAGAAGGAAAAACAATGAGTGGAGAAAAAAGGAAGAGGCGCATCATGGTAACTTAATGAGCTGCCCCTTCAAAGCGGCCCTGTGCTGTTGGAGCCTGGTTTGGTGGGATGACTGCAGAAGCAGGGCTGAGACCAGACTCCCATGGCAGGTTGTGAGAAGCCCCGTGCGTATCCTTCAGAATCAAGTTCCACAGCCAGAGACTTGGCACCAACCTTCCCCTGGAACTCAGTGGAATTTGCTAACATCCGTGCTAATCCTGCTCTTTTTGCTGAGGAAGACCAGCTCTGAGCTAACATCTATTGCCGATCCTCCTCCTTTTTTTTCCCCAAAGCCCCAGTAGATAGTTGTGTGTCATAGCTGCACATCCTTCTAGTTGCTGTATGTGGGACGCCGCCTCAGCATGGCCGGAGAAGCAGTGCGTCGGTGCGCGCCCGGGATCTGAACCTGGGCTGCCAGTAGCGGAGCGCGCGCACTTAACCGCTAAGCCACAGGGCCGGCCCAAGGAGAAGCTTTTGAATTAAAAAAAAAAAAATCTCACACTTCCTAGATGAGCCATATTCATCTCCAGAATAGTCTCCTTTTCTCTCAAACTTGCTGATTTCCACGGGAGCAAGAAAATGCCCAGAGAACAGGGCCGGGACCCCCGCTGCAGGGGGACTGCAGAAGGACCAAGGGATCTATCTGGTTGGCCAGCACAGCGGGCAGACACTGTAGAGTCCAAGACGGCGTGCGCACGGCAAGAGCCACACGGCTGGCCTTGTTTGGAGTGGTCTCTGCCCTTTTCTCCTGTGTGTCCTTGAGCAAGCTGTTTCCCTCTCTGCGCCTCACCTGCCTCCTGCGTGTAATGAAGATAGCAAAGCCAACTGGTGGAGTTGTTGTGAGGATGACATGGTGTGACCTGTGGCACCTGGGGGCCACATGACTAATGTCACTCTCCTCCTCCCCTCCCCCCATGCTACTTGTTAAAAGTTCTGTTTGCATTCTTGGGACTGACTTTGAGAATGTTGGCAGTTGTTCCTGAGGGAGGAGATGGATGCTTTTCTCTTGAGGGCTTGGTGGCAGGGGAATAGGGTGGGAGCAGAGCCTGCTGGACAATAGGTGGTGTGTCCAGGGAGGTGGGTGTGTGGAGGGAACCTTGTTCAGGCCAGAGAGGTGGACTGTGAGCCTTGTCACAACAGGGACGCCGCCTGTCCCCTTCACTGTGTGCCCAGGGCCAGGCACCCAACAGGAGCTCAACCAATGCTTGTTGAACAAATATGTGGATCTAGTGAAGAAATGGGCCCCCCATCACTGGAGGC